GCCCATTATTCTAGACTAGACTCATTCTAATGGATATGATAATTTATAACTTACTATATTTTTTGAAATTATTTCCCCAGATATATCTGTTTTATACACATTGACTGATCTTATAAACCTAAAGAAGGTAACTGGTTTGATAGACATTTTATGAATAAATAGTTCTTAAAATCAATCACATATGTTTTCAATATACAGATAAGAACATTTAGAGTGACTTTTTCATTTATTCAAAAAATACTTCTTAAGCATCCACAGTATACCGGGCACTATTCTAGATACTTGAGGATACAGTAGTGAACATACACACAAGGTCCCTTTCATATTTTACTTTAATTTTTATCTTTGCTCATGCTGTTATTCTCAAATTTTCTCCATAGCATGAATTCATTTTGTATTCTCTCTATATATTTTATTTGTTTTATGTATGGTATCTACATGAACTAGAATATGAACTCCATGAAAAAAGGAAGATTTGTCTGGTCACTCAGCTTCTAGTACAGTACCTAACCTTAAGTAGGGACTTAATAGATTTTTGTCAAATGAATGAATGAATTGAATAAAATGAGGACCAGAGTGTGTGATATCCTGAAAGCTAAGTGAAATGTTTTTAGAACCAAATCGTCAACTGTGTCAAATGCTGTTGATGGGTCAAACAACATAAAAACATGAAGATTGGATTTACCCACGTACAACTGTTATGAATGGTTTGCATGGGGTGAGGAGTGAAAGCCATATTAGAGTAGATTCAAGAAAAAAGGAAGTGGTGAAGAAGTAGAAAGAGAATATATCTATAGATAGATATATAAAACTCATTCAAGGAATTTTGAGGGATAAGGAAATTGAGCTGTAACTGGAGAGAGGGGTATGAGGCCAAGGAAGCTTTTGAAATGTTTTTCTTATATTTTAAAGAATTCCAAACATGCAATAAAAGAATAGTACAGTGAACCCCCCTTATGCCCTTCACATATATCAGCAATATCAAGATTTTTGTTGACTTATTTTATTTACTCATTTTTGTTGTTGCTGCAGAAATATTTTGAAGTGAATCCCAGTCATTTTAGCTGTATATATTTCAGTATGCAGCTAAAAAAAAAAAGGAAAAAATAGCAGTTTTTTACTCAACCTGATGCCATAATCACACCTGTTAAAATTAACAGTAATTCCTTGATATTATCTAATATCTAGTTCTTATCTTATTGCTACAATTATTTAAAATAAAAGTTTCTTGATTCTAGATCCAGTCAAATTCTAATTTACATTTGATCATTTTATCTCTTAAGGTTTTTCTAGACTGTTCTAGAGAACTGTCCTTCTTTTATGGATGAAGCTAGCTAGATCAATTGACCTGTAGACTGTCTTACATTCTTGATTTGTATCTTGGCTTCCTCATGGTGTCATTTCATTTATTTTTCTGTTTTCAATATTATTTCAAACTGTAATGTAGTGTAAATGTTTGATTAGATTTAGCTTCATCTACTTTGGGAAACATACTTCGTAATCAGTGTCCTGTGTGTCGTATTTCATCACATCAAGAGGCACATGGTTCACTTTCGTATTCTTACTTATGCTAATGGTGATCAGTGAAGTCAATTGGTGACTGCCTCATGTTTCCATTGAAACTTACTCATTAACTTTTCATCTTATGATTTGATGATCTTTGCCTAAATCAGTTATTTCATTTACTTTGCCAAAGGGTAATTTTTTAGTTCTGTCATAAAGGGGGGGTCTTTATAACATATTTCTGCTGATGGAGATGATCTAATAGAAAAGGAAAAATTATGTTGTAAGAAAGAATTCCAATACATGGAGAAATGGCAAACTTGGTAGATAAGAAGGAATAGAGTCCACTGCATAAGTGATTAGAATACCTCAGGTAGGAGCAGGAACAGTCTACGTAACTTACTTATTCAAGGTTACAGTAGCACAGAGTGAATATATTTTATTAAATTTCTATCAGAATTTTGCTATAGAATCTGTTTGATAATTGTACCTAATTTTAGAAGCATGCATTTTCAATATTTGGTATTGTGTGTGAAATCAAAACTGAAACCATTTTAAGTTTCACTGTCTATATTTGACATTGACCCTACTTGTTAGAGTTTTTCTAATTTCTTCCTCAAAAGTGCATTTTTAAATTAGTGTGTCTTATATATCTGTATCTTTACATTTTAAAAAATGTCGGCATATACTTTTATGTAATTGTTTTTCAGCTTTTGTTGCTAGTCTGTTTCAAAGAGAAGTAAATGCTACTGCTAAACAAATAAAATGATAAATAACTGGCAGTTTAGTTTAGACACTAATGGAGCCTAAAAGCCTTTAAAATGACAAAAACAGCAACTTTTATGATTTATAGGTGCATTTTTGTTACACAGTTTGGTCATATACCTGACAGTTTTCTCTCTTTGTGACTTTCTCCTAAAAATTATAGTCTTGTGTTATCTGAGTGAAAAGGCCATTAGAGTTCAGTGGAAAAATTTGACAGCATCTCTTCTGAGGATTGCAACAATTCCCATTGGTGGATGTACAATCTCCTCCCCCCCCTTTTTTTGTAGTAGTAGTTCTAATGATAGTGATATAATTTAATTCTCAAAGAATACATACTGCAAGTTTGAACCCATAAACTATCTCCAAATTATCTTCTATATGCTCTCTGAAATTCAGTTTTAGACAATCATATTTCTTTATGTCTCAGTGATTTCCATTTACTACCTGTTGGTCTATACACTCTCAAGAGTGTTGTCACTCTGTTGGTGTTACTGTATGTCTGACATGATACGTACTGAATTAAATTAGAATTTTAAAAGCAACATGGATTATATAATCTCTTCAGTTACTTAGTGCCGTGTTGTTGTTGTTTCATAATCCCTATTGAGGTTGAGCTGATTTCCTGTTTTGGCATCCCCAAAAGAGCACTCTGTATTTGTCTCCAAAAGCAGGAATGTAATCTGATCTGTTTTATTTTGTCTCCTAACTTAGATGAGAACATATTGCATGAGCTACATTGATCAATTATTATTATGCTTTCTAGTCATTTATTGGACAATTAATACAACCTTGTAATGACTTCCCCAGAGTATCCCTATAAACTAGATCATTTTACCCAAGAACCACAGAGATACATCTAGGTAGACAAGGATGAAGAAAAGCTGATTAGGAGAAACAGGAAATATTAAACCTTCAAACTTGCATTATATTTTTTCAGATTCTCTTCATCTTTACAGATGAAAGACATACTTACTCTCTACTGAAATATTTTGTACAACTTAAGAAACTTAGTTTTTCATTGACTTGAATCTTCATTGTTTAAAATATGAAGATTGAATTTAGGTGTATCCATATAATATTACTCTTTAAATTCTTGTGATCTAAGTCATTTTTGTAGAAGTAAGAATGATAATCTTTTACTGTTCTTTTAAAAATTATAAACTACTAGAAAAATAGTTTATTGAGGCAGTTAATCCTTAAAGCAATATAAACTCCTTATGATCTTTTTAATGTTTGTAGCTTCACAAATTTGTCCTTCCAAATGTACTTTAAAAATGTTTTATAGAGTAGCTTAGAATTTTTAAACTGTAATACCAAAGAGAAATGTGTTAAATATTTGGGAGTTTTCATATTAATTAAAAAACAAATATTTTATAAATTTAAAAATAATAATTCTTTTGATTTTTTTTTGATAACTGTTTAGTAAAGAAATACTTCTGAGAAGTAAGTTTATGTGTTGTGTTGGGATGTTGAATTTAATATCAAGTTGCTGTAATGAGGCTCAGAATAGTCTGAAAACTAATCTTTTTTTTTTTGCCTTAAAGTTTATCTAGAGTGTATAAAATGAGTTATAGGACCTGTGTATTAGACCCAACCAATTTCATTTTAGTCATGTCTCACATATATCTACATTTTATTTACTAGATGTGAAATGAACACTATTAATTAACCTTTATCAATTATCCAGAAATTTTAAATTTCATAAACTATTTTTTAAGATTTTATTTATTTATTTATTTATTTATTTATTTATTTGAGAGAGGGAGAGGGACATGCAGACTCCATGCTGAGCATGGAGACTGACACGGGACTTGATTTAACACCTGAACCAAAATCGAGTCAGATGCTTAACTGAATCACCCAGGCGCCCCATAAGCTATTTTAAAATTTTGTTCTTAACTCTGATATTCTGTCTTATTATTAAAATTACATAATAAAGACAATGTTGACTCATTTATCTAATAAATATTTATTGTGCACCTGTTACGTACTAGGGATTGTTAAAGACTTTGGGGAAACTACAGCACAAAACAAAACAAGCTAATTTACTATCCTTTGAGAGCTTGCATTCTAGTGACAAAGTTAAAAATTAACAAATATAAAATATCAAGTAGTGTTGTTGCTATGATTAAAAGAAGAACAGGGTAAGTGAATAGAGGGTGGTAGAAATGAAGAAATTTACCTACTTGTAAACTTTCCAAGACCTCCTCTATCCACCAATTTAAATGCTCTTTTCACTCTAGATCATCCATGTGTGCCATCCATGTAGGTACGTCCATTATTTTTCATATCATACAATTGTATAATTGTCTGGCCTGATGTTAGTTTAGTTTTTCACCCATAAGATATCCTCTTCAAAAGCTGGGTCCATCGATCTTCATCTATGTATTACCAGTTTTTAACCCTAAGTCCTTTTATAAGTGCTCAGCAAGTATTTTTTATGTCAAATGAATGAATGATACGCTCAGAACTCCTTAAGATCTCTGGCTCTACTGGAAAACCCAAGGCCCTTTTTGAGACAATTAGAAAAGAGTGGGTTAAAAAATGGTAGAAAGGAACATTTATGTATGCATTCACTCTGTTTGGTTCAAATGAACATTTCAAGTTAATTAAGAGTTCTACATCTTACATTATTTTATTGGCCTTACTATATCATCCTATTTCATAGCTTTTTTGAAAAAAAATACAAAATAAGAAGGAAAGCTTTCTGAAAATTAATCTTTTATCCACAGGTACTACTGAACGAGTATGCTTGATCCAGGGAACAGTTGAAGCACTGAATGCAGTTCATGGATTCATTGCAGAAAAAATTCGAGAAATGCCCCAAAATGTGGCCAAGACAGAACCAGTCAGCATTCTACAACCCCAGACCACCGTTAATCCAGATCGCATCAAACAAGTGAGTGTTTAGTTGGGAAATCAAAGAGAAATATCCACAGCATAGTATGAATTCTTTATAAAAGAAGCTTTAACGTCTTAGCTTATAAAGTTTTTCTTTTCCTAAGCATACTTAATACATAATAAAGTTGTCATTTTATTTTCATAAAGACTATCAGAGTCTCTTCCTTAGATTGATCAGTTGATTTATTGATTGATTGAATATCTCATTTTTTAGTGTTACACTGAAGAGCAATTATGTGGCTCATTTCTTTTGTGATTGCCTTTTAAAAAATTTATAGGCACAAATTTGATTTATAGGAATTTAATCTATTTAAAATTACATTCAATTTTTAAAGTATAAAAATTGAAATGAAACTATATCCTCAAAATTTCTAATACCATATTTTAATAATATTTGTAGTCTTTAGTATAGTTATTATGCATATAAACTCCTGTTTTGTTAATTTGTTATACTCAACATTTTTTTATAAACAAATATGTATAAGTAGATTTTTATACCTAGCAAATAGTCCTTTGTTACAAAACAGCTATTATGTTCTGTATAACATGTAGTATTTATATATATGTCATGAAGGGCCAATGTTCATTTTTAATGTGTGAGATTTTTCTGTAACAAAAATTTTACTTGATAAAAGGCAGTGTGAGTTTTTAAGGTTGAATAATGGCTGACATGATGTAGGAGAAAAATGACATTCTTTAATGTTAAATTAAGTGAATTCTTCCCCATAAACTCTTGAATTCTCAAAATTTTTTGGTACCTTATGATTATGATTGTTTTTGCATTTGCCCTTTTATAATTAGCTACTTAATTTCTGATCATATTATCAATAGACTATGCTTCAAAAGAAATGTATTATTCTTCATTAATTCACAGAATATTTAATTTACAGAATTTTATATTCATTGTAATAAATTTGAAATGTAGCTCAAAATCTTATTGATTTCATGTTTCTGAATTGAGAAAAAACTTTATACTAAACAATGTTACAGTGTTATGAATATATTATAATTTTACCAATATATAGATAAAAATAAGCCTGACTAATCATATACAAACATAGGAATTAGTAATTAAGTAATCTATTTTCAAATTACAGGCTAACATTTAATTTCCTATTAATTACCATTAAAAAATTTTTTCCATGTTTACATCAGGTAGCTGTTATTCCATATAAAATCATTCCATTTTATACTCTTTGTCACTGTCAAAATGGTTCAGTTTGTATACCCTTCACAACTTTTCAAGGAAGTATCTTTTAATTTATGCATGGCAGAATGTAAATAATTTATAGCTCTAAACATCAATAGATTTTTTTATTCTTCACAGCCATTTATAGTTTTGAAATGTTTTGTTTATCTATGCTAAGTGAATACAAGAAATATTTTTAAAACTGACCCCAGGACTCTAGAGGTGGTCAGATTCTAAAACTATGAGTTTAGTTAAAGACTTCTGGGTTAAAATCACCCAGGGCTAAGAACTTACAGAATTGGCCCTAAAGTGTAGGATTTATTGACTTTCTGCCTTACTCCAGCCTATTACTTCTCTCTTTTCTTTTATAACTTCTGTGAGAAAACTTCAAAAATTTAGAGATAAGAGTGAACATCTTGATTTTTTAAAAAGTAAAATATACAATGTAGTTTGAGTAGTATGATATCACTGGTGGTATATTTAGGACAATGATATGAATTATTAATTATTTTTATAATAATAGTACCATCAAATAATGGAATATGAATCATTGTTAAAATTCTGATTTTCTCTATGCAATATGAAATTTGAAGGCTACCATATATATAGTACCGTTACAGATTGATGAAAAGCAGAATTTGAAAATGTTTGGTTTATTTTTACTTGCCTTGTTCAGATAATGTTATTTAAATTCAAGATAAGTGTTAAAAAAATAGTGATTGATTGACTTTTGTGTATTTGCATTCATTTGTAAACCTTGTAGATATTGATGGAATTAAAATTATTGTTGATTTTAATATTTTCATGTAATCAATAATGTATGCAATTAGTATAATTTTAAAAAATTATCAGACAAGTACACTAAATCCAGTAGGACAATATATTTAACCCTTAAACCCTTTCATTGTGAATGTAAAAATTGAAAATTTTACTTGAAAAATCTGGAAAAAAGATCAAAAATATTTCCAACATATTATTGATCAACAGAGTTTTTTATGTTCTAAGTTTTGTATTTTAACAGTGTAAGATTTTTTGTTGGGTTATTCTCCAAATATTAAGTAAAGCATATAAATTTAGATGACCACAATTTTATTTCTGAAAATGCTGGTTATCCATCATCAAATAATATGTCCAAAATAAACTGCTCTAGAATATATAAAAAAAGTCATATATTTATATATGTTGTAGATTATAATACATAGAATCACAGTAAGATTTCTTTTAAATGGTGGTGTTTCCTTTAACTGATAACATTTATCTCTGCTTTGGGCTTTATTTAGTCCTGAAGTTAATTTTAAAAACAATTTCTTTAAAACATCTTTTTAGAATTTTCTTTTAGTTAAATTGTACAAAGAATAAAATTAGGATTTTAAAAAATGAGACAGCTAGAAAATATAACTTCTGCATAGAAATGAATTCATGTTGAATATGAAGTTATAGATTTTCTTAATGTTTATTACTGCATGTCTATTGTTTTTTATGATTGATAATTTTAAGGTCTTGCCTCCTAAAAATGTATAATTTGTATGTAACTTGGACTTAAAATAGGAAATCAAAGTTAGTTCTAAACAAATAAAAGTTGCTTTAAAAGTTATAATTTCAAACCATATGTTATGGACTTTTAACAGAGTATTATATTCTGAATTATGTAATCTAGATACCGTTGGTAACTGAATAAATTGCATGAACCAGAACATTCTGCCCAAATGAAACCTACCCTTATTGAGTGAATGAGTGCTCAAATAAATATAGTTTCTTAGGAAAATAGTGCAAACTGGTCTTGCAGGTCTTTCATATAGTGGAATGATGAAATCTAGCATGACAGCCTTACATCCAACTTCAGATATTAGATGTTCCCTCTCAAATGTTTTTTGTTGTTACTGTTTTATTTTAAAAATATTTATTTGCTAATAGAGGGATTCCAATACTTTATATATTCAAATGATAATAGTAATAATAATTAACAGGTATTGAATAATCTAAATATTGTACTCTCTGTTCTATAATCTTATTAAGATTAGTAAGGTTGTTATTATTATTATTATTATTATTAAGTACTTAATATCACTGTGCTTATTTTACAAGTCAGTATACTAAGAAACTGATATGCAGCAAAAGCCAATAAACCAAAGTTAAACATATTAATTATAGCATAGAACATACTATTTCTTATGTTCAGGACACACAAATAGCAGAGACATTCAGTGATCTTCAAATAATTTAAACCCTGTTTGTAGGAGTTCTGATTCCTGGAGCACATCTTTAGCCCAGATTATTTAATACACATTTACCCATTTCCACCTTTTTGTATTTTCAGCATGATACTTTTTTTCCCCTCCTAGGATTATTGAAATTTTCTTCTTTTAAGTCCCTCAAATCCTTCTCTAAATATAGTTGTCTATATGTAATGAGTCAATACAATAAACCCTAAAACAAGGTAGGAACCGCAAATCAGTAATATAGTTAGCATTTGTTAACTTCTTTTGTCTGTTACAGATTTTCAGCAGTTTTTTTCCCTTTTGGCTCAGATGTATTCTTAAGAAAAGCCACATTAAGAGCGAAGCAGCTTTAGGCATTTAGAGCATTCTCTTATATTTAAAAAAATCAAATGAAGATATAAGAAATCTTAACTTAGTCAAAGAGTTTTACTTCTGTCATGAAAAATTGGCAAAAATAGCACATAATGTGTTCACTATTCATTCATTCTGTCATGAATTTATTAAATTCCTTCTTCCTGAATTGCAAGATATATTAAATTGTAGCCCTTGCTCTCTAAAACTAGTTTGGAAGAAATCATAAATGATTAAAATAACTTATAAAAATGTCAAACCGTATTATATACCTAAAGTACAATATAAACAATGTACTATAAAAGTTCAGAGGCGTGTGAAAGAAATGTAGGCAAGAGTGACATTTGGTCTTATACGATGGGTGAAGATTTGAACCGGGCCTTGAAGATTATATAGGAATTTCCTAATTAGAGGAGAAGAAAGAAAAAAGTTATTTTAGACATGTGAAACAATATGGATTTGAGGAGAAAGACATTGTGGTTGAATAGTAGGGAGACTCTCGTGACAGAAATGGAACATTTGGGTTGGAGTTTAGAAGAAATTAATGTTAGACAGATAGGGTGGGACCAGATAATAGAGAGCCTTGGGTGTCTGGCCGAGGGGCATTCTGTAGACTATGGATACTTCCTAATATTTCCCAAAAAAGCTCTTTTAATTTCTCTGGACAGTTAGAACAAAAGGAGGCACCTCTGCATTTTGTTACCTTCTGTGATAAAAATCCAGACCGACTCTTAGGCTGCCTGTAGGTTCAACTATTGGTTGGAGAAGAGAACTATGACAATTAGCTGAGTGATCTACTATGCAGATCTTTAGGTTTGAAGGTTTGTAAGATAATATTTTCTAAACTTCTTTCATGTAACACTCACAAATCTAAGGAATGTTAAGCTTTGTCAGGCTAAATAAATAAAGGTTTGGTGGTCAAGAATGAAGGATGAGTAATATTATAATAGTGCTATCTGTGGTGTTTATTGTTTCTGTGCCAGCCATTGTGCTAGGCACTTTACATGTAGTCTCACATTTTATCCATCTTCACAAAAATCTGTGAAGCAGTGAAAGAGTACAGAATCCATGTTATACTTATGGAAGCTGATGTTTAAAGGAATTGAGTAACTTACCCAAGGAAATGTAACTGGTAATTGATCTTAACGCTAGGCTATATGGCCTCCAATTTTGAGCAATGCTGATAAAACGAAATCCAAAAGATGTCTCTTTTTGGGGACTTTTCAGTGTCTGGAACAA